ACATCCTAATTAGACTGGATTATTTGGTGATCTCATCTGTGTTGGGTTAACCTTTTTTTTTTTTTTTTTTCTTGCCTGTGTTAAAATAATACCACCCTTCTTTCTCTCAGGAAGACAAACAAACCCTCCTATACTCTCATTCCAAGCCCTTCTGGTGATGGAAATCAACCTAGCCTCCTGTGGTGGGCACTGACTCATATCTGGCCAATCATACTTCAAGTCACAGTGACTGATTCAGGAATGGGAATGTGACCCAACCAAAGCCAGAGATGCAGTAACTCTTGCTGGGACTTTTCAGGAAGAGACTCGCTCTTAACTCTTTGAAGTTGCAAAGATGCAAGGCCACAGTTATTGTTGTTATCTTGCCACAGATGAGATACTGATAATGGAGTCAAACCGAAGGTAATAGAACCAGGAGATGAAATGCATGAAGCCAAGAACAAGTAACCATGTTTGTAACTCAGTTCAAATCCTACCTGAAGTTACTTTAACTCTTGGACTTTTCAGTTACATGAACAAACAAACTTTCTGCTTATGACAGAATTTTTGTTTCTTCCGATGAAATGTACCTTAAATGATACAGATCCTTTTACCCCACAGCTACAAAGCTGTCTGTAAGTCTGTTTATTTTCTTTGCAATATTCACAACCTTTCATCCTTTAGACCCAGCTCAAATGCTACCTTATCCATAAAAATACCCTGCTTGTTTGCTTGCTTGCTTTTTGTGGGGGTCTAGGGGGTGTTACTGGGGATTGAACCCAGGGGCATTTAACCACTGAGTCATATCTCGAGCCCTATTTTGTATTTTATTTAGAGACAGGGTTTTGCTGAGTTGCTTAGGCTTGAACTTAGATCTTCTTGCCTCAGCCTCCTGAACTGCTGGGATTATAGGTGTGTGCCACCAAACCCAACTAAACTCTGCTTTTTTGAACCATAAGAACTCTCTCCTCCTTTGAACTCCCAGAGCATTTTATATGTTGGTCTTTTAGGGTTCATTCCTTTCTAAACTATGTTAATTTTTGCCTGTATTTTTTTGGATACAAAGCTTGTTTTTCTGTGGGCTACTGGCAGCTTGAAGGCAGGACTCATTACAATCCTCTTCTTATCACAGAGCAAACAACAAGGTGCTTTGAACAGAGTGGGATCTCAATTCATTTGCTGAATGAACAGATGAATCAATACAATGAACTCTGTTAGTGAGCAAGGAAGAAGTAAGCTTTGCATGCTAGGAATAATGGAACAAACTGCTGGTGGAGATAATACCACAGCACAAGCTAGCAGATCAAAAAGAGGTAAAGAAAGACAAGGAGTCTGACAAGGGCAAAAGGCAGGAAGAACCTTTTGTATCCAGGGTTTTCTTTATGATACTATGCACATGAAAGCTCTAAGAACTGAGAAGGCACCAGACACAGTTATGCCCATTTGGAATCTTAGCTACTTGGGAGGTTGAGAGAGGAGGATCACAAGTTCAAGATCAGCCTCTGCAAATTAGCACGACCCTGTCTCAAAATAGAAAATATAAAGGGCTTGGATGTAGCTCAGTGGAAGAACATCCCTGGATTCAATTCCCATTAATATAAAACAAAAGCAAGCAAGCAAGCAAACAAACAAACCGAGAAAACAAGGATATAGAAACTCTTACTTTCCCAGAGCTTCCTTTATGAAGAATTTCATTAGTGCCTTTGGTCGGCTACTTACACTATCTCTGAATTAGCTACCATTTAATGAGTGATTAGTACATGCCAGGCACTGTGCTAAGCACTTTACATGTATCACCTGGTGTACTCCATAAAATAATTCAGTGAGTTAGGCATTATTCCTCTCATTTTGCAGATGAGAAAACTAGGATACAGAAAGATGAATAATTTGCTCAAAGTCACAAATGTCAGATCCAGAATTTTTCCTGGGGTTGTGAAAAATTTTTTTTTTTTAAAAAAGGCACAGGAATGAAAAAGGGAAAATACTATGAATTAAATGTTTGTTTTCCTCCAAAGTACATGTGTTGAAACTATAACCTCCAATATCATGGGATTTGGAGATGGCACTTTTGGGAGATAATTAGGTCATGAAGGTGGAACCCTTTATTTTTTTTCATATGGTTTTTTGAAAATTTCTTTTTAGTTATATACAATACCAGGATATATCTTGACATAATCACAAAAGCATGGAACACAACCGTCTCCAATTCAGTCCCCAGCATGGTCTCACCCCTCCCCACCTGGGTGGAACCTTCTTGATGGGTTTAGTATCTTTATTTAGAGGAACAAGCACTTGCCCCACATACATACATCTGTGAACCAGGAGAACCCCCTAATATGGGTCTTTCTAGCCCCTCCGGAACAGTGAGAAATAAATGTCTGTTGTTAGATCATTCAGTCTACTTTACTTTTTACAACAGCCTGAACTATGACAGAAGATAAACAGGATAAATGGAGAAAGAAAAATGAGAAGAGGAAAAAAATTCAGATGACTTATTTACTTAATTTTTCAACTCTAAGAAACATTAGGAGATGACAGACAGTCCAGGAGAAAGATAATGAGAAAATTGACTGGGTTCTGTAAAGGTAAAAGGACAATGGAGGAAACCTATTCAGTATTCTATTCTATACTGTTTCTTTGGTTAAACATGTAATATGCACAAAAAGCTCCTATAAGTTAAAAAATAGTTCATAATAAAGATAGGCCTGGGTATGAATAGGCCATTTACAGAAAAAATATAAGAGGTAAGCACATATACTGAAAGAAACACAGGCACATTAATAGTCCAAGAAAGTCAAATTGAAACAAGGTATGCTTGACCTATCAGATTGGAAAAAATTTTAAAAGGAAATATGAGAAAATCTGTTTTCTCCATATCCTAATAAGCACTGTTTATTTTATGATAAGCTTTAACAGTGAAACAAATGAAATTTTTGTATAATAAAAAGGGAACTGTTATGATTTAGATATTAAATGTACCCCCAAACCTTATGTGTTGAAGGTTTGGTTCCCATCTGATGGCACTTTTAGGAAGTGGTGGAGAAAGTTAGGTCACTTGGGGCATGCCCCTGAAAGGGCTATTTGGCCCCTTGCCTCTTCCTCTTTCTCTCACTTTCTGACCTCCATGAAGTAAGCATACTCTTGCACCATGATATTCTGCCTTGCCATAGGTCCAAAGCAAACATGGACTGAAACCTCTGAAATCATGAGTCAAAAGAAATATTTCTTCTTTTAAGTTATTTAACTCAGGTATTTTGTTATAGTAACAGAAGTTGACTAACAGCACTGCAACACTAAAAGCTCATATAACACTTGTGAATTTCTAAATGAGTATTTTGGGGATTCTCTCCACCCTATACTTTTGCATAAATATCAACCATAGGTTAGGGGTAAGCAAGGGAGTTTGAGGAGGAAAAACAGTGTCCTGCCTTCTGTTTTCCTGTGCTCTTAACATCTTGGTATATGGGTATATGGGGGAGATTCAAAGCACTTATCTTTCCCCTAGTTTAATGAGATAGGAGATAAGAAGCATTATTATTATTATTTATTTTTTGGTGGTGCTGGGGATTGAACCCAGAGCCTTGTGTATGCAAGGCATGCACTCTACCAAATGAACTATATCCCCAGCCCAAGAAGCATTGATTTTAAAGCAATGAACAATTATGGATAAATCCAAGCCTTAGGCTTTTTATTTTTGTAACTTACATAGGTATTAAAATCATAAGATAATATTAAACTGTGGTCTCAGAGAACCACAAACTTAGAATCTTCAGAAATATAAATATCACACATGACTTAGGTTTGGCTAAAGCAAAATTTAAATTTTCTACTCAGTACTTTGAAATGTGTATATTTTTCAGTATTCTAAAATTCTGGTTAGGGGCTGGGGCTGTAGCCCAGTAGCAGAGCGCTTGCCTAGCACATGTGAGGCACTGGGTTTGATCATTAGCTCCGCATTAAAAAATAAAATAAAATAAAGGCATGCTGTCCATCTACAACTACAAAACTATTGTTGAAAAATTTTTGGTTAGATTGCCATGAAGCTACTAATCACATTCCATTCAACTCAGAGACTTTAAAGTGACTGTACTCAACTACTAATATCTTCCCATTCAACCCCCCCCCCCCAAAATATATATATCATACACAAATACACATACATATACATATACACACATTTTTATAAATAAAACCACATTTTACCTGTAAAAACTTCAGTCGGGCTAGAAAATCTGTGATGTAACTTCCTAGGGGCTTAAGACTTGGGTATGATCGTTGGGCCCATAGTTCAGGAACTTTTCCGACCAGTAAGCTGCCAGAAAGTGCCTCCAGCGCAGAATCCATTACAACCACACCCTTAATAGCTTTTTTAAGGTCCCATAGAGTGTTATGTATAGTTGTAATTAAACTACAATGAAAGAAATTTTATCATCAACATATATATGATAATAAATATCAGCATACAGTCTTTCTAGAAGAAGAAATAGCAGGAACCTCATTCACTGCCTTGTGGGAGTGTTTTCCAAAGTGCGGCTACCTCCCACTGGTGGTTATGTGAGGTAATTTTAGGTAATATTTGGATGAACATTTTTTATTTTAATCATTACACACATTTTCAAATATAGAAAATAGTACTATTAGCATATCAAAATTTTTGCTTTCTATTATTCCTTAGGACTTAGCTAATTTAAAAAATGTGATTGTTGACAAATTATGGTTTTATAGGTCTGTGGGGTACAAAATAGTATTATGATTTTTTAACTGAATGTAGAAAGAATATGTTAAGCTAATTAACATCTGTCACCTCAAATCTTTAGCATTTTCTGGGATGAGAACATTGGAAATTTACTCTAGTGATATTAAATTATATGGTATTCAATATTAGTTATATTCAGCATGTTGTGCTACTGATCTGAAAAAAAAATCAAACTTATTTCTGAGGTTTTATACCCTTTGACTCTCATCTCATTATTCTCTCACCACCCAGCATCTTTCTACTCTCTTTCTATCATTCTACTCTTTCTATAAATTCAGTTGTTTTAGATTCCACACATGATTTAGAACATACAGTATCTTTCTGTTTGACTAATTAGCATAATATTCTCCAAATACATCACAAATGACAAAATTTCTTCTCTTTTTTTAAAGACTGAATAGTATTTCACTATGTATGTGTGTACATACATATATGTACATATATATATATATATATATATATATCACATCTTTTTTATTTATTCATTTCTTTATTGACACTTAGTTTGATTCCAAAACTTGGCCACTGTCAGTAGTATTGCAATGAACATGAGAATGCAGATGTCTTTTTGACATGCTGATTTCAAATCTTTGGATAAACACTCAGAAGTAGGATAGTTGGAACACATAGTAATTCTGTTTTTAGTTTTTTGAGGAAACTTCATATAGTTTTCCATAATGGTTTTACTAATTTATATCCCCACCACCAATGTTTCAGGGTTCTCTTTTTACCACATCTTCCCCGGAACTTGTTATCTTTTGTCTTCCTTTTTTTTTTTTTTGGTACCAGGGATTGAACCCCGGGGCACTTTAACACTCAACCACATCCCCAGCCCATTTTTCATGTTTTATTTTGAGATAAGTTGTTGAAGCTGGCCTTGAACTTGTGATCCTCTTGCTTCCACCTCCCCCTATTGGGATTACAGGTGTGCACTTTCGTGTCTATTGTTTCTTTTAATATGAAGAATCTTTATTTTGAAATTCTATTTGTCTATTTTGCTTTTGTTGCCCACAATTGTGCGGCCAATTCTAAAAAATCATTGCCCAGACCAATGTTGTGTAGTTTTTCCTATGTTTTCTTCTAGTAGTTTTACAGTTTTAGGTCTTGTCTTTAATCTACTTTGAGTTGATTTTTATATGTAACGTGAGGTCCTATTTCATCTTTTGTGCGTATATATATACATATGTATATATATACATGCACATAGATTTATATGTATGTTTTTTCCCAATGCCACTTATTAAAGATACTCTCATTATCCACTGTATATTATTGGCAGCTTTTAAAAAACCAATGACCATAGACATATTAGTTCTTTTCTGGATTCTTTATTCTGTTCCTCTGATCACTATGTCTATTTTTATGCCAGTATTATGCTGTTCTCATTACTACTGCCTTGTGATATAGTTGAAATCAGGTAGTGTGATGCCTCCAGCTTTGTTCTTTTTTTGATTGTTGATGGATCTTTATTGATTTATTTATATACAGTGCTGAGAATCAAACCCAGTGCTCACACATGCTAGGCAAGTGCTCTACCACTGAAACACAACCCCAGCCCTCCAGCTTTGTTCTTTTTGCTCATGATTGCTTTGGTTATCTGGGGTATTCTGTGATTCCATATGAATTTATTTTATTTTATTTTTTTGGTGCCAGGGGTGCTTAACCACAGCCCCCCCTTTTTAAAAATATTTTTTAGTTGTAGTTGGACACAATTTATTTATTTATTTATATGTGGTGCTGAGGATCAAACCCAGCACCTTACACATACTAGGTGACCCCTCTACCGCTGAGCCACAACACTAGCCCTTTTTATTTTGAGACAGGGTCTCACTAAGTTGCTGAGTGTCTTGCTAAGTTGCTTAGGATGGCTTTGAACTTGTGATCATTCAACCTCAGTCTCCTAAGATGCTGGGATTATGTAGGCATGCACCATTGCACCCACCTAAGATTTTTTTCCTATATCTATAGGATGTGATACGAACTTTTGATAGGGTTGCAATAAATTTATAGACCACTTTGGCAGAACCCAGCTAATTTAGAAGGAGAATTATTTAAGGGAAAATATTAGGCAAATAATACTACAAGTAACATGCAAATATTGGAGAAGTTAAAAAGATGTTATATAACAGCTGAAACTAGGGAAACAATACATTAAAACAAATTATATATTCATTTATACCCTGGCAAATATTTTGTTTCCCACTTCAATCCAAACAGGTAAGAAAACCGTAAACATACTTGTAGTGAGTATAGATGTCTGAGAAACTGGGGGACAGCATGCTATTATAAATAAATAACTATAGCCTTTGTATAAGAAATAACTAATTAAATAGGGTAACACAGTATTTTAATATATTTTACTTTAAAGTGTCAATACGTATAGAAACTATAATAAACTTGGAAACACTTTAGAAAATGTATAACCAAAACAATTCACCATTCCTTAATCCAGTAGAACATTCAATTAAAAAATTAAAAGCAAATAATTTGTTTATTATCATACAGTACTTAATCAATTTAGGTTGCACTCAGTAAATGTGTGTCAGGTGGTAGAAAAACAACAGAAGATATGCCTATACATAGGCCTCACTAATGTTCATTCTCCCTTTAATTCCTGAGGAGAATAATAATGGATGAGAAGTTACAATTAATGAATATTTTTAATCAATAAGAATATATTTCTTTTTCATCATTATTTTTACATTATAAAAGATACTCTATCTTCTGGAGCAAAAGGTTATGAAATTTTAAAAGGTCAAAATTTTAAATGGGAGGTTTTGATAATCTTAAAATTTTTTATTCAATACCAGCATGTCTTTTTATCAATTTTGGTGGCTTGCCTTCTGAATTGCTGGAGATATAGATACTTACTTGTTAAATCGTTCCATTTCTTGTACTAACACAGTATTCATGCTCTCTTCATATCTCACAGGATACTTCATTAATGCTGTTTCAATATCAAAATCAAATGGAAGCTACAAGAATGGATTTTGAAGATCACAAACACTCAGAATGGATAATTAGTTTCACTCAGCTATAATATCAGTAATAGCTAATACTAGGGTGTTACTATATGGCAGGTACTATGCTGCTTTCCAAAATTATCTCATTTAATCCTTGGATGATATTATTATTTTCATTTTATAGATGAGAACATTTAAATTCAGAAAAGCCAAATTATTGGTCTAATGGCACACAGCCCAAAAGTTTAAATCTATAGGTCTCTGAATCCAAGACCCATGTTCTTAACTACTATAGCACTTTGCAGAAAATACATAATTCTGAAAAGTTGTGGAATTTCTCTTTGTAAATTAAATCTTATTTTCCATTGATAAAATTTATTTAACATTTCATAGCCGTTTTGTATTTCTTTTTCTTTTTTTCTTATGATACGGGGATTGAACCCAGAGGTACTCTACCACTGAGCTATATTCCCAGCCCTTTTTATTTTTTTAATGTTGAGGCAGGGTCTTATTAAGTTTCATAAGCTGGCCTTAATTTGCAATCCTTCTGCCTCTGCCTCCAGAAAGGGATTACAGGTGTGTGCCACTGTGCCTGATTTATTTCTAATTGATTATCAACTGGGTTCCAAACAGCTTAGCTTACCCCACATCAAATAATTAACTTTGTAAAAGTAGCAGGTTCCCAGGGCATAGGGAGAGAGAAGGCCACTTAATGTGTGATTTCTATGTGGCACCTCAGAGACACTTTGGGACTGCTGATGAAATTCCTTTAAGACACTGAAATTCATACTCTTAAATGGGCAAAGAAGTTTCCCAGTTGGGGAAGTCTTAAACTAAAAGAATTGCACTTGCCTGAGGGTCTCCAGGTGATAGTCCTTGGAGAGTACAAAAGAATTCCAATTCTAGGGTCCTCTGGCTCTGCTCAAACAACCCTTTACCTCAAATAAGCCCCAGGTGCCTCTGTCAGGTAGCCCATTAGAGCCACCATTCAATGAAGGCAAGAACCTTTCACCACAAAGATAAACCAGAGAAGCAGCAGCCATGTGTGAGAAGAGGTGAACTGCAGAAGCAGCCATACAGGGATGGGGGGCCAGGGTGTGCTAGTTTGCTTTCACCCAAGGCTGCAGGCAGTGCTGCTCCTCTCCCTTCTCTAAGAGGCCACCTCCAGGCTTCTGGTGAACAGGCTCACCTAAGAGAGCACTGGTACTCTTGCCTTCATGGGTTTTGAAGGCAAGTGGACTAGAGCTAGATTCTGCTCTGTCAGATAGTCTGGTGCTGAAATATGAACATATTTATAGTACTTAGAGGGGAGTTGTGAACATTTGTGTTTAGTAGCATAATCTTTTAAAAAGTTCCTTTAGTAGTTCTTTATTGAAATTAAAACTCACAGAAAAAAGGTGAGAATACAGAGTATCATTCTACTTTACTTAGTAGGGTTAGGTATGTTGGGCTGTATCATGAAAAGTTATAGCAACTAGCTTAGCACTGTTCGTATCTCCCTGTGCCTTCTCAATTCCTAATGTATAGTTAAAAATCAAGTTCAGAACATTCCCTCCATTTTTAAAAAGTTAAGTCATTCACTTTTATTTAGAAATGAAAATAAACTCATCCTTGACCATAGTTACTAAGAACTTTAAATTAATGTTCTTTAATGTCCTCATAAACCTTTTACAATAATATGTACTATTCTTACCATTTAACAGGCTTAGAAACTAATGCTCAGAGAGGTAAAGTATCTTGCTCAAAGTCATACTGATGATAAATGGGAGTTTTAAGACTGTTATATCATAACCATTTTTATTATCTTATAAGCAATATATTTTAAGCTAGATAATACCTTGTTGAGTATATCTTCCGTAATTTCTAATAGAATCTGGTCAGTACTTCCTGAGGATCCTGTCTGTTTTGAGCCTCCCTGAGTGAGGAGCAAGGACTCAAAAAGGATTTTTGTTTGCTGAAGATCTTTGGAGATATCAACATTTTCATGTAATCCGAATATTTCAGGATCTTGAGTAAATGGAAGTTTCTACCACAAAATAGATTAAGCATGTGTCACATTTTAATTGGATATTGAAGGGGATCAGGATATGCTACCCCCAAATATGCCAATTTAACATAAAAATAGATGAAGTTAATATAAAAATCAATAGATACAAAAAGAGTTCCCTTCCCTTCCCTCTTCTGCCTAAAAGTGGGCCATAAATTCTCCTCTGTCCTGTACCAGGATGAGGAGAGCCATTCTTATCACACAGGAGACTGAAGGCTGGCACTAGAAGATGAGTGTATACAAACACATTGTACTAAGATAATTCTTATCTTCCATTTTGCCGTATATTTCCTAATTACTTTCTCACAAGTTATTACCCACAGAAGCCCATGCCACCTTTCCTTTGTTTAGTCAGTTCTTCACAATTCATCACCCTTTATTTAGACGGTATATAAACTCCCATGTAATCTGCTTCTTTTGGTTTTCACTTATTTTCTGAAAAACCCTTGTAACACAGTACAAATTTAATGCATTTTCTCCTGCTAATCTGTCTTTTGTCAGTTAAATTCAGAGGCTCCAGCCAATAATCTAAGGAGGGTATTTTTTTTTCCTATAAAACATTAATTCATAAGGGAAACCTGTGCAGATCAATAAAAGGTTTAAAACCAACTGAACATCAAATGATAGAAGAATCAAACTTTTCCAATGTCACTAACCAGTAAGAAAACAAATACATGATAGTTGATTGAAATCATTAATACTTGTCTAAAATGTACACATTAGAGAGGGAACATTTCATCATTTCCTTTTAGAAAAATCATACATAAATCCAACCCTATATTACAGTGGTGTCAGTTACCTTGATGAATTCAATGTAGTCCTCATAAGTACCTTTGGGAGGTGCAAAATAATGCCCACTGGGAGAAAACTTATAATGAGGCATTTCAATTATGTGTGGATTATAAAAGTCAGCCAGTATGGTTAATAGGAGGCGCCTGTCCCAATCATCTGTAACTCTTCCTCCATAATTACATTCTCCAGTCAGATAAGAAATAGCTTCAAATGGAATTGTATCATATTCATTTATAAATAACTGAAACAAAGAAAAAAATGAAGAAAAAGCTTAAATTCCTTCCATTTATTTCCATTTTAAGATTGCATTATCTATCTATCTATCTACACAGAAAAGGTGTTGAAAGAGTTACCAGCATGGGTTGGTTGTCTTTGGATTTAGTGTTTTGTTTTAAATTTCTTTGTTTATATGCATCTCCCATTTAAAAAATAAATACATGTTGCTTCTTTAATGAAAAAAATAATTAATAATTAAAAAAAGATGACATGGAAATTACCAAAGTCTTTTTAATTGTGAAATTGAACACACCTCATTTTGGATAAACTGGGCTCAATTTTGTTCCAAAGCAGATATTTAGTAATGTCTAGAAATAATTTAGACTGTCATAAATGTGGTGGATGTGCTACTGGCATTATGGGATAGAGGCCTGGGATGGTGTTAAATAATCTTAGGATAATTGCCCATAGCCCCAAATGCCAATAACATCAAGGCCAAGAGGCTGGTGCCTGGTTTAGGAGACCTTTCACAATGTTATAAAAACAATTTCAACCTGTAGTGCCAGAACCTTGCTCAAACACTATGACAAAGTTTCACTGATAAAGAATACATGGAACTACCATTTGACCCAGCTATCCCACTTCTTGGTTTATACCCAAAGGAGTTAAAATCAGCATACTATATAGTGATACAGCCACATCAATGTTTATAGTAGCTCGATTTACAATAGTTAGTCTATGGAATCAACCTAAGTGTCCCTCAATAGACGAATGGATTTAAAAAATGTGGTGTATATACTCAATGGAATATTACTCAGCTTTAAAGAAGAATAAAATTATGGCATTTGCCTGTAAATGACTGGAGTTGGAGAATATCATGCTAACCGAAATAAGCCAATCCCACAAAAACAAAGGCTGAATGTTTTCTCTAATGTGCAGATACTAATTCATAATAAGGCAGGGGGCACTAGGGAAGAATAGCGTTACCTCAGATTAGGTAGAGGGAAGTTATGCGAGGGGTGGGGAGGTGATGTGGAGATAGGAAAGATAGAATAATGAAACAGACATTATTACTATATGTATATATGTGACTGCATGACCAATATGATTCTGAAACATGTAAACTCAGAAAAATGAGAAATTATATCCCATCTATGTATGATATATCAAAGTGCATAAATGCATTTAACTGTCATGTACAACTAATTAAAGCAAATAAGAAAATTAAGAAAGAATACATATTGTTTCTAGTTTCCTTATTATCATGGAAATAATAGGAATAAAAACTATTTACATAGCTTTTACATTGTGTTATTCATCTCCCAGTAACCCTGTAGAGCAGTAAACAGTCTGAAAATGTAAAGTAATGTGAAATAATTTCTTCCAGTTCTAGATTCTATACTCTTTTTAATGTATAGCAATTTTAAGTAGCATATATATTGGGATAATATGTTACTGGTTGAAAGCTTTTCCTATTTCTAAAATTTAGTTCATAGGGCAGGAGTTACAGCAGAAATGGTGCACAGTGGAGAAAAACTTTTTCTAGATTATCCAGAGCCAAAGAGACTCTCGTATGTCTGGGAGAAAAAGAAGTGTCAAGAGATAGGAGAGGAAGACTGAGAAAGAGGGATGGTCATCTGTTTTGATAATAAATTATTTGTGGAAAGAGGAAAGTTTCCCCCTCTCTTGTCTTTGAGGGAGGGCAAAGATATGTTCATCTGGCTTCCTTCCTCCAAACCAAGAGACCCCCAAGAGAATTTAATGTTAAATTTGTGGCGTGTGTGAGAAACGGAGACCAACAACTCATTGCCTGATTGTCTATCCACTCAGTCATCAGTTTATGCAGGCTCTGATTTCTAATATTCAACAAGGGTAGAGATGCTGCTCTTATCAGTCATAATTCTAGATATGGCTCTAGATGCCTTTCCTCTGAGCCTGGATTTCCAACTGTCTTGGTAATCCTGTGAGGTACCAAATATCCTTTCCATTGTTTCCATATATAACTTTTCTATATATTACTTTTCTGCTTAATGTAGACAGCCTGCTTCTGTTGGCTGATAGAACTAAATTGTAGAATTGGCTGAGTGGAGGAGGAAAGACAGTGAGAACCTATAAAGCCAATACTGAGAGTGGCACTGCAAAAAGATGAAAGAACCAGGGTTCTTGATAACAGTGCTGTCATGTGGCTCAATCAACCAACTTCAGAGCTTGTTCTTTCTATGCACCTCTTTTTTATGTGTGATAATAAATTTAATTATGGTTTAAGCCAGTTCGAATCAAGTTTCCCATTATTTGCAACTGAAAGAATCCAGGTGGAAAAAAGCTATTACAACAATCTACCCATGTATTAGTGATGTTGGGAGAACTGAATCAATTATTGTAAACAAAGGGGCTTGCGTAGGACCTAATTAACAATAATCATTCATAAATGTTAGCTCTGTTCCTTTCCAATATTACCTGTAGTTGCCGGATACTGATGCGTAAATCTGATTCATTAAATCCATATGGAATATTCCAACCAAGAGGACCAAATTTCTTTCTCTCTTGCACAAGGGCATGAAAAAAACAAACTCCAAATAGCAACTTCTCCCATGCCTTTCATGTAAAAATTATACAATAAAAATTACGATTAGATTTTCATCAGTAAGATGAGGGGAACAGGTGACCTTTTTCATTACAAGGATCTATGACCATGTATCTATTTGACTATGTATCTGAAGTGCTATTTTAAAAAGATCTAAAATAATACTTATTATTAAAAACATCATCTTATCACTTAATTCAAATTTCCAAAGCTAAACTAACCGCAATATTAAACTTCATTAAAATGCAAAAATTGTAACAACAATTTGATTCAGATATTGGCTAAAATACCTTGGTATTATTCACAGATATTTGCAATCTCAGTACTCAAATGTTGTCCTGTAGTCTTGCTGGCATGTATTTGAGACTATAAATTCAGAAGAATAATTATTAGGATTTGAAAAATCCCAATATATAATTCTAGACTTTGTTACTTTTCATCTAGAGATCACTTTTGAAAGCATTGTTCATTTGGTCTATACATGATAACTTCATATGTTGAAATATGGATGTCACATGGGCCTCTCATAACCTGTGTCAGCATTCTGGGTATGACCATACATTTTTTAAGGTAGCCCTAAGTACATTTCAAGCACTTATGCCATGTACTTTAAGTCAGGTAATCTCAAACAGTTCTAAATCTACATTCTGAATGGCTGGAACTACAGGCATACTTCACTGTACCTGGCTTATTTATTATAAAAGTGCAAGCAGGACATGGTGGTGTGTAACTGAAGTCCCATCTACTCAAGAGGCTGAGGCAGGAGGACTGCTTAAACCCAGGAGTGCAAGGCCTGCCTGGGTAACATACCAAGACTCTGTCTCAAAAAAACCAACCAAACAAACAAAAACAGTTAAAATGCAAGCCTTCTGCTGGGTGTGGTGGTGCAGGCCTGTAATTATCGATACTGGGGAAGCTGAAGAAGGATCACAAAGTTTGCGACTAGCCTGAGCAACTTAGCAAGACTCCATTTCAAAATAAAATTAAAAAGGCTGGGGATGTAACTCAGTGGTAGAATGTCTGTCTAGCATGTGCAAGGCCCTGGGTTCAATTACAAGCACTGCAGGGTGGGGAGTCGGGGGAAGCAAGCATGCTATGCATTACTAAACTGATATATTCTTGAAATAATGTACATAAATCAAAGCATATTTTAAATATACTAGATAAATGCTATGGTGAAACATCTGATATGAGAATAACATTTTGGCAATGGAAAGAATTAACATGTATTTTCATATATTAATAAATCACATATTAATTTACATATATTTTCCAGACACTGTATTTTCACATAATTCATTTTCTTTATGTTTTTACTTGGTGCATTAAATACAGAAGTGGAATTTGTTGTGATATATTCATACATGCACATAGCATGATGTGATTTCATTCTGCAGTTCCTGCCCTTTCCCATCCGTCCTTCCTCCTTCTCAGTTCCCATGGTCTATTCCACTATTCTCCCTCCTATTTTCAAGAGATCCAACCTACATCTTTTTTTTTTTTTTAATTCCTTATTTCTCTCTCACTTCTGCATCTGAGAGAAAACATTCAACCCTTGACTTTTTGAGTCTGGTTTATTTCACTCAGCATTCACATAATGGCTTTTCTTTAGGTAGAGACCATAATTCAAGTTTTGGAAAACTAAATAGCTGCATTGTTTTCTGTCTTTGGTCTTTATTTAGATTGGGTTCCTCCAAGAGCACAACTTGAAGGAAAGATTAGAGTGAAGGTGGGCTTATATGGGAGGTGACCCCATGAAGCAGAAAAGAAAGAGTGGGGAAAGGAACACGGGGCAAGAGGAAAAGTCAATATTAGAATGAGTTATTAAAGCTTTTGCTATGGCAGGGACACAATTCTTCTGAGAAAAGTGTTCCCTGTCAACAATATTATTTTCACCAATAAGTAAATAAATTAAATAAAAAAATAAAATTCAGCAAAGGGGAGGGAGGAAGGGGAGGGGACATGGGGATAGGAAAGATGATGGAATGTGATGAACATCATTAGCCTAGGTACATGTATGACCGCACACGTGGTACGACTCTATATCGTGTACAATCAGAGAAATGAAAAGTTGTGCTCTATTTGTGTATAATGAATTGAAATGCATTCTGCTGTCATGTATAACTAATTAGAATAAATAAAAAATAAAATAAAATTGACAAAACTCAAAGTGATAATGTATCTGTAGGCCATAAGGGCTCTGGTGGCATAGAGAATTCCTGGAGACAGAAAGCAGAAATATGCATACTTAGATGGGATGCTATCAGCCTAAGGTGAATGAGTACACAAAGATCTATCATCTCTTTTACAGTTGTAGCTAAAATTAGATATGAACTGAAGAAATGTGAAAAGGGATATCAGGAAAGTTTGCTCATAGTCCTATTATCTAGATTCCCCCATCCTGCCAAAACTAGATGTTCTAAAAAATTCTTAGAACACAATGATTTTCAAAGTGTGATTTCAGGATCAGCAGTATCAGTTTCACTTGAGACTTAGAATGGCAAATTCTTAAGCCCTATCCCAGGCCTACTGAACTAGAAACTCTGGGGATGGGGTTCACCAAGATGTTTCACTAAGCCTTCTAGGAGAATCTGATGCATGCTGAGAATGAATGTTACAAGGCATTTGCACTTTTTCTGATCTTACTTCAGCTTCCATTTTTTTTTTATTTTTATTTTTTACTATCCGAGAAGTTGCTTGGTGAAGCCTTACTTATTGCCAATGATTATAAAATGATGCTATGTGACATGGAGGCTAATTTTGGATGTCCCCAGATCCCAATATTGTTTGCTCAAGTTGTAATATAGAAAGAATCAGAGTGCTTCTTTCCAACACAGCACAATTTTTTTTTTTTTAGTTATCTGAGCCCCAAATTAGTTCTGCTTGTTATTCTCTGTTTCGGGACCTCTTTCTTCTAGGTACTAGGGCTCCTAGGTACTAGCTTCTAGGTACTGGATGGGAATCAAATACTATACCACTTCCTCCATTCTACTAAGTTCTTTTTCTAGCTAAAAACACACAAAATATTTCCCTTTCTCATAGCCTTACAAACAAAATGTGCAGAAGTAGAAGCGCACAAAATTATCATTAAGCAGAGGTGGCTGGATTCCAAAGAATTTGGTCATGTTTCACCTTCAGTAACATTCTTCTAGCTCAACTAGGCAAATGTGATAAATACTATATGTTGAAAAGAGGGCAGAGGGACAATTTTCTCCCAATGTTGTTTCCTTCCATGGTGGGAAGCCTCAACTAACATATCATCCCTTACTTTTCTCCATCCTTATACTTATTTGCTATAGAAGAGGTAGTAAATTTTGGGGAAAATTAACCAATATGCGTGGCTCAGTTTCTCCTTTTTCTCTCTTAGAAGTGATCTTCTTGCAGGGAACTGAGTTTTCCTCTATTCCTATAGAGGTAAATCTTAATTTTGGGGTTCAGTTAATAAGTAATCCATTTTCTCACAGATATAAGTTACATTATCTTCCAATCTAGCCTATATAAAAAATTAAGATTATGCTTGGTTCCTCTATGTTTATATTCTTTCCTGCTTCTCAAGTGGTAATAATTCAGACAGTATTATTTTATTGGGACCTTCTGAAGTACCCAACACCATGTAAACTGTTTTAGACGGATATGCTGAAAAACATTATTAATATGCTAAGACATTATCACTTGAATTTAAGTTCCATGAAGGCAGATTTCCTTGTACCTATTTTGTTCTCACTGCTTTGTGTCTAGCACCTAAAGAGTGCCTAATACACAAATTTGTTGAAAGAATGAATAAATGATGTAAAAATAGATTACTACTCTTGGTTGTTAACTGAAAACCCTGTTGTACTTTGGTTTATAACCTAAGATACATTCGTTCATTCAAAAATATTTATTTCAATGTTACTACTTGTGGTGAGCAGAACACAAACAACCAGGAACAAAATAATGAAGCAGTAGGAATAATTTGTCTTGTTAGGAAATGCATGAATTTTAAAATATTAAATAACAATTTTATATTAACACATTTAATCACTATGAAACAATTTAAAAGTTTCAGAAGTTGAATGTTACCAGTTCTTTTCCCTGGCATCCCTTGAAAAACTGAACATCAGAAATTGGATCCGTGAGATATGACTGAAGGAGATTTAGCCGAAGACCTGTGGGAGGTTCATTAGTCATTTTTACTCCATTCTGTAGAATTGTTACTGGGAACTAAGACAAAATATATGAAAAACATTATGCAAGATAGCAATCTTAGACCCTAAAAATGCATACAACCAGTGAATTAACAAATGTCTAAAACTCAAGACATACAATGTAACAGCTAAATTGACTTCTATAATAAACACACATACTTTTGGAGATGGGTAACTTGTGAGCCAAAGCCTAAAGGATGAGTTACAGGTTTCAGTGCTAAAATCTTCACATATTTTTTCCAACATGGGCATCCAGGAGACAGCAAGGTGACAATTCTGTAGGCAAACCCAAGTTCCTTCTTCTACTGCTGCTCTAATCATTTTTGTTGCAATTGGTCCTTGTCCCTGACCCAGTGAAATGGCTTGAAATTTATTTCCAGACATAGACTTATCATTTGCAAATTTCAGTAAGCCTATGAAGAGAACAAGAAATTACTTTAGAATTATAAAATATGCCTTATGATTTCTATGTATACATGTATTATCATAGAAAGTTCTAGTTATCTCTCCCTATGAATGCCAGATTTACTAACTGATTTATAATCATATAACAAGTAGGCAATGAGCAAAATATTTTAATTGTAATTTCTTAGAAATTTACAATATTACAACATATACACTTACTGGCCATGGGATCTGCTCCTGGAGACAGCACAAAAATTAAGGGAATGGTGCAGTTTGAATCCAAATAACTCTTTGTCAAATCAAATGGTGGAGGTTCTACAAACTTTTTTCCGAGTTTGTCAGTTACATAATTTGTTATAGCTGGTGTTATCTGGTGAAGAGAGAAAATGTGGTCTTTGGAGTAATTTCTATTTCATACAACAACTTTATTATTGAAAAATGAGAAAAAATGAAATTTGAACCTGGCCAAAAAAAGCATTTAGCATATCAGACAAAGCACTAATTTCCCTAATATGCAAAATGTGTTTGCTAATTTAATAGAAGAATAGCAATCCAAAAGTAAAATGGGCAGAGGAGAAAGCTGTTTATAGAAAATGAAATACAAATTGGTCTCTTTCTCATACACACACACACACACACACACACACACACACATTATTATCGGGTAGGAGAAAATGAGATAATTAGGTAGCCTCCTTTTGAACCTGCCCAGAGATAGAATGAAACATTAGATAATGCTCCTTGTGTGACTTTACTAAAAATGTAACAAGTAGAGAGGGAGGGAGGAAGGACAGAGAAGGAAGGAAGAGACTGTTGCTATCATTTTAACACCTTCATATTATATATGGTATACCTGAGCCAAGGAAAGTGAAGTGACAACAGATTCTCTCCTTGACCAAACCTTAGGCTCCTCTGAATCTTTTTTCTACTAGGCCTTGTCCTTAGGAGACCTTCTGTAGCAAGAATTCTGCTAAATCAGTTTAGTAAGAACCCACCATCCTTCATATCTGATTAAATTAATCACCCTAATCCCTCAAATCTGATCATACTGGCCTGCTTAAAGCAAAAATCCTTTGGGTCAGGATTCTCTCTATCCTTAATGTACTATTAGTACTTTCTCCTACCCTTCTCCTTGGCTGCAAATCCCCAACCATCTCTGTTGTATTCAGAGTTGAGCCTTATGTCTCTCCTCTATTGTGAGCCTTGACTACTACTTGTTACGAGTCTTGAACAGTCTTTCTTACTGTTTAACATTTAAAAACTGTAAATAAATTTTACTTTACCGCCAAAGTTTAAACTATATGTGTGAAGATAGATGTTTGTGTTTTCTATTAAGTTTTTCCTTTTGTAACACATAATAACCTTTCTTGGTGTGTGAAAAATGGTATTATCTTACTTATCCCACCTATAAAAATATTTTTCTACACATTTGGACTAATAATTTTGTGACATGTACAAGATTTTCTACCATCTTCTGTTTCTAGTTAAAGGGATTAGAATTACCTTCCCACTATAAACAATTTTAAAACAGGCAAAATTAATAAAACAACCATTAAAGATATTGGCATTAGGTGGTGCAGGACTGTGATCCTAGATAAAAAGGAAACAAAGTGAACCCTATTAATTCCTCAGCTTTCTTCTTTACAGAGGGTAAGACTAGAAGTAGAATGTTATGGTTTGGATCTAGAATGTCCGCTAAAGATTCATATATTAAAGACTTCGTTCCCAATGCAGCAATTGAGAGGTGGGGTTTCTGGGAAGTGACTGAATCGTTACATCTATAATCTTATCAACAAATTAATCCACAGATGGATTCATAATTGAATGGACTTTTGGGAGTTGGTGAAAACTACAGGAGATGGGACCTAGCTAGAAGAAGTAGGTGTAACTGGGGGCAAGCCCTGGAAGGATATATCTTGTCCTATTCCCTTCCTCACTCTTTTTGTTTGCTTCCTGGCTGCCATGAGGAGAGCAGCTCTGATCCACAACATGTTTACCACTAAAGGCTCTGCTTCATCAAAAGTCCAAAATGATGGGGCCAAGTGACCATGGACTGAAACCGCTGAAATCATGACCCAAAATAAACCTTTCTTCCTTTTAAGTTGTTTGTATCAGGTATTTTGCTACAGCAATGGAAAGCAGACTCATACACAGCATTGCAGTGTTGCTGGGCTGATAAGACAGAAAAGGAATTCAAGGAGACCAAGGCAGCCAGGAGTTGTAGAGTTCCAATTAGGAGAGAACTATTCAGGCAGAGTTCAGAAATTTATATTAAAAAACCTTGGAGTTTTTTTATGGATACTGTGGCATGTGTGTATAAGGCCAAGCAAAGAATGATTGGGGAGGTGTGAGCTGGGGGCTCAGGGAACTATCAGAGTTCATGCAAGACTAGAAATTCATTAAAGTTCCCAATAAACACAATGAGGAGTCCTTGATGATCACCTGGGACATTCAGGAAAGATCCCATAAGGGCAACACTTTAATAGTTGGGCTAAACTATCAGTTGGAAAGATCATCCCTAACAAATTTTAATAATAATAATACTCAAAAGGAACAATTTAAAGTCAAGTAATTTAATTATATAGCCACAGGAGTTGGCAAACTTATTCTGTAGAGGGCCAGATAGTAAATATTTTTGGCTTTGTAGGACACATACAATTTTTGATGCATATTCTTATTTTTAAAATAGTTACTTTATAATGTGTAAAACATTCTTCTTTCATGGGCTGGATAAAAGAAATCATGGGGGCTGGGGTTGTCGCTCAGTGGCAGAGTGCTTTCCAAGCATGTGGGAGGCACTGGGTTTGATCCTCAGTACCACATATAAATAAATAAAATAAAGGTCCATTGACAACTAAATATATATATTATATATATTAAAAAGAAAGAAATCAAAGGTTGGATTTGGTCCACAGTTAGTGTTTGTTGATTCCTAAACAGTAGGACAAAGCATAACAATCTTTTTTAAAAAATATTTTTAGTTGTAGATGAACATGATAACTTTATTTTATGTCTTTTTTTTTTTTTTTAATGTGGTGCTGAGGATCGAACCTAGTGCCTCACACATGCTCAGCAAGCACTCTACCACTGAACCACAACCCTGGCCCCACAACAACAATCTTTTTTTTAATATTTATTTTTTTAGTTATAGTTGGACATAATACCTTTATTTTACTTATTCATTTTTATGTGGTGTTGAGGATAGAACCCAAGGCCTCTCACATGCTAGGCTAGTGCTCTACCACTGAGCCCACAACCCCAGCCTAAAACACATTATCTTTATAGGAATATAACAAAAAATAAGCCATCAGTAATTTACAATGTACAACACCCAATCAAACATTATTGGACATGCCCAGAAGCAGGAAAATATAATCTATAACCAAGAGTAAAATAAGTTGACAAATAAGTAAAATAAGATATCCAGAAATGGATCGAATTAGCAGTTAAGGATTTGAAAACAGTTATAACTTGTGTTTAAAGCTTTAAAAAACGTGAGCAGAGTGAAAAGTGAAACAGAACACATATAAAAAAAACAAAAAACTATTCTAAAGATGAAATACATAACTAAAAAATTTATTGGATGGGATTAACACTACAAAAGGAAAAAAATCAGCAAATAAAGAGAGCATCAGAAACTATTCAAATGAATACAAAGACACAAAAGATTTAAAAAAAATAACATCATTTTAACATCACTAGTATGGCACTATATCAAACAGCCTAACATATATATAATTGGAATCTTGGGTGGGCTGGCAAAAAATATTTGAGAAGCCAAATGCAATGGTGCACGCCTATAATCCCTGCTACTTGGGAGGCTTAGGCAGGAGGATCACAAGTTGGAGGCCAGCCTGGGCAACTTAAACTCCATTTCAAATTTTAAAAAAGGGCTGGGCTATAGCTCAGTGGTAGACCACTTTTGGATTCAATCTCCAGTGCCATAAAGAAAAGAAAAAAAAATCCTGAAGAGGAAACAATGGCCAAAAGTATCTCCAATAAACCCACAGATGGATAATTACCCCATCTGTGGGGTTCTGAAATGAGATACTGTGTTTGATACCGTGTGAGTATCTGAAATGAGAATTAAAGAACCAAATAACAGTGCTGGGATGTAGTTCAGTGGTAGAACACTTGCCTGGCATGCACAAGGCTGTGGATTCAATCCCTAGGACTGCCAAAAAACAAAACAAAACAAAACCAACCCACCCCGCCAAAAATCAAATAATAATATAGCTGTGTGTTACTTAATAACAGGGATTAATTTCCAAGAAATGTGTCATTAGTTGATTTCCTGAGTATCATAGAATATTATCTACAGAAACCTACCTGATATAGTGCACTATACACCTAGGCTCTATTATATAGCTTAATGCTTTTAGGCTATACACCTGTACAGCATGCTACTGTACTGAATATTATAGGTAATTACAACATAATGATATCTAAACATATCTAAATGGAATCTAAACATATCTAAACAAAAATATATATAGTAAAAGTATAATACAAAAGAAAAATGTTGCATCTGTCCAGGGCACTTACCATGAATGGAGCTAATTAGGACTGGAAGTTGCGCTGGATGATTCATTGAATGATGACCAAATGTGAAGGCCCAGGACATTACCATGTACTACTACAGAGTCCATGAACACTGTAGACTCAGTATACTGAATTTTAAAAAGTTTTTCTCTCTTGGATAAGAAATTTAGCCTTAACTTACTATAATATTTTCACTCACAAGTTTATAAAGTTTTTAAAACTTTTTGAGATTTTTTTGTAGAAACTTAAAACATACATGGTATAGCTGTATGAAAATATTTCTTTATAGTCTAATTCTATAAAATATTTTCTATTTTTAAAAATTCTCAAAATTTTAAAACTATTTTGTAAAACTAAGACACAAACACACACATTAGCCTAGACCTGCACAGGATCAGAATTGTCAGTATCATTGTCTTCCACCTTATATCTCATTCCACTAGAAGGTATTCAGGGGGTGTTAATGCCCATGGAACTGTCATTTCCTATGATAAGAAGGCTTTCTTTTGAAATACCTTCTGAAAGGCTTGCCTGAGGTTGTTTCACGTTTTTTAAAATAAAGGGGAGTACATTCTAAATTCATAATTAAAATATAGTGTAGAAAATAAAACAGCAATAATCATTTATGGTCATCATCAAGTATTATATAGTTACATAATTATCTGTGCTATACTTTCATATGACTGGAGGTTCAATGGATACACTAGCATGCCACAGATATGTAAGTGATGCATTACACTATGCCCTCATGATGGACACAACATCACTAGGTAACAGAAATTTTTCAGCTGCATTATAATATAATGTGAACTTTGTCATATTATGAGGTCCATCATTGACTGAAACATCATTAAGCAGTACATGACTATACTTTATGACTAGTATTTAATAAATGGCAAATTATCTGGATTCCAAATCAACCACATATGTCTTTTACCTTATCTGGCCTTAAGCACCGAAGAATTATTATTTTCTGTAGTTCATTTAGATTCTTATCCAATGGTGCTGGAAATTTTGCATTATGTGGCTCTTTACTGTCATAGATTTCCCGCCATTCCAGTAAATGTTCACAAAAATGGGTCCTAGTAGAAAAAGTTTAATAATTATTGTTTTTATTTGGAAAGGTTTTGAGAGACTGTTGAGCAAGGGGAAAAAATTAAAAAGTTATAGAGCCATTTAAAAATCACTAGATTACAGGAACTGTAACTGAGGGGAAGCTGGAAAGTACACTCTAACTAGGAACAGAAATGAATAAAGGCAGCTGGCAGAGTAGGAGAAGACATGAGAGAAGAAGCCACCAAGAGAACTCTTGACTCACACAATTCTAAAGAGAGGTATAATAGAAACCACAGAGCCTATAAAACTCTGGCAATGGGCCTGATAAGTCTCATCCTCATTGGGTACAACTGGAAGTTCTTCAGTATCATATTTACCAGGGTATTATTTTGGTCCTGAAAATAAATGCTATTTTGGGGCTGGGATTGTGGCTTAGTGGTAGAGTACTCGCCTAGCATGCTTGGGGCCCTGGGTTTGATCCTCAGCACTGCATAAAAATAAATGAATGAAATAAAGGTATTGGGTCCAACTACAACTAAAAATAAATAAATAAATATTAAAAACAAAAGAAATGCTATTTTTTTGTTTGAGAGGCTGAGTCAGGAAAATGGTAAGTTTAAGGCCAGCCTGGGCAAGTTAGTAAGACCTTGTCTCAAAACAAAAATTTGAAAAAAGAGCTAGGGATGTGACTCAGTGGTAGAATGCTTACCTACCATGTGTAAGGTCCTGCATTCACTCCTCACCACCAAGGGGGGGGGAGGGGAAAGCTATTTTTTGCTTGCTTGCTCCTTGGACTAACAACTGCCAACTTCCCCTTGAATAACATCTGGCAAAAGAAAGTACAGAACAGAAGACTTCAGCTGCAGAGGAGGGGACAAGCAGGAAAACAAAGAAGCCAGAATGGAATTCAATGTATCTTTCTTCTCATCATGAGGAAGGATAGTCATTTAGCCCATAAGCTGTGAGTGAGAGGTAAACTGACCAAATACAGAGCTCAGATCCCTTTGCTTTGGCAAGTGACTAATTTAATATGATACTGACAGATACAAACAGTGATAAGCTCTTCATAGTATGGCATCATCAACCTGTGTGGCCTGAAGACCTCCACATTCAATGTGCACCTAATGAAAACCTCTACTTCACCAATTAGAACATGAGTTCTGTATGCTAGGTCCTGTTGAAATCACTTGGATTTCCACACTCTGCTGCATCTCATTGGACATGCAGAGACCCCCAGGCTGCATCTTTCTGCTCCCAGCACTGCTTTTTCTTCACTAGTATCCCAGGTACAGACCAGCTTGACATGCTCTGTAGTTTTCAGATCCCTGGGTGCCTAATCCTGTGCATGGTCCATGAACATTCAGCAAATAATTGCTTCAGTACTGGCTTGTCTTGGCAGCTCCAATGACCCTGGACTACATGTAGCTATCAGTGAGTCTTGGCCCAACAGTATGCTCTTATGGCTTCTTTGCTGTTTAATAGCTATTGTTCTAGGGAGATCTTTGCCATTGACCTGCATTGTCAAAATCAAGGCAAGGGCTGGAAGGCCACCCTTCTTTTCCTCAACTCAACAGTGACCTCTATGTGAACCCTCCAAGAAGAGCAATAACTGATGACATCAGACATGGCTGGAAAGAACAAGCTATGAGATCCAAGGGCCATTAAGTATGTAAGGGGAACAAAGGTCAAATAAAATGAGTATGCCCACCTGCTAATGCACATGCACAAGAAAGAAGGAATCCTGGGTTGGGGGGGTGCTGGGATTGTGGCTCAGAGGTAGAGTGCTTGCCTAGCACGCGTGAGGTTCTGGGTTTGATCCTCAGCACCACATAAAAATAAAATAAAGGTATTCTGTTTACCTACAACTAAAAATACATTGAAGAAGAAGACGAAGGAGGAGGACAG